CACAAAAATACATATACCACAGTAAAAACTAACTAATTAATATATATTTTTAACAACTAATAACAATTTCTCTATTTTACTAATTTTTTTAGCACATGTCCGGATAAAAAATAACAAATTAGTTAAATCGAAAAACAATCACAAAATAACATAGAGCGCATTAAAAATAACTAATATGGATTTTTTATACGAGTTTTAACAAAAAATTAAGTCGGTATACCTCGATTTAAGGTTTTTGGAAAGTTAAAGATTTGGTGATTTGGAGTCGAAACAAGCAACTCACTACTGGAATATGCCTTAGCCAGGATGTGGGACCGAGAATCTATACTTTTTATGGGACCGATGGGCTCCACTTGAGCTTTTTTTCGTTGACAATTAGGGGACCGCTGTTTCTTTTAAGGGAGGGGGGAGTTTCTTGTTTGGTGGGGAAGGGAAGGGGGCGGGTTTTTATATGGGAATAGTGTCTTTTATTAAGACGTTATACTATAGCGTCTTAATAAAAGGCACTATACCTTCCCGCTCTTTTCAGGTTCAACTATAGCGCTTTTTAAAATGGCGCTATACCTTAACGGGCAAACGACCATTAAGGTATAGCGCCTTTTAAAAGGGCGTTATATATATATTTTGGTCACTGTATTTTTTTTCACATATTTTAGTTATTTGAGTCTAAAAGAATCACATTTTGGTTCCGGACTTAGAATAAAAACCAATGGGAATCTAATCTATATTTATTACTATGATTAAACTAATACATATATATATATACAAGTACAAATTTGTCCACGTGTTGCTGCCCAGGTGATCGCGCTATTGCCACCTATGTCATCTCCTTCCTCCTCAACTGCATCAACATCTATATATCACTGAGGTCTTCTCACCTCAGCCTGTTCACTTTCACCTCTCCTCACGAGATGCCACTGTCGCCGTATTTGGTGGCGAAGCTACATGGTTACAAGGGTGATCAACTGATCAATCTCCGTCAAAATATTGTACTGTGTATATAAGTAAAATATTACGTTTTAAAGTTATATAACACATATTGAACACTCTTTGTCGAGTACTTTTTTTAAATTTGAATACCCTTTGATAAAATTTCTAGTTTCGCCACTGACCGTATTAGACTGCTCGGCATTTTGTGTTGCAAGATATCAAATCTGTGAGGTACATTACATGTACTGAAGTTAAAATCTGTGGACGGCATCTACCGCATATCATTCTTCAATTGTGCGACCTCTTAGAAAATTGTCCAATGCCATAGTTGCATTTGAAACATTATAATTATCCAAACATTAAGTGCCTGTTTGTAAATGACTGTATAATTATTAAGCTGCATAATTATTAGGATAGTAATTATAAATGTAATAATTATAATAATATATTTAATTTTTATAATATAATTACAATATAATTTTTAGTGCTATATTTGATTGCACAAATGTAATTATATAGTTTGATATTCTTTTAAAAAGTCATCCCGTAATTGCACTATGTAATTATCACTAAATTTTTATTGTATTTTGAAAATTGAAGTGTACAATTGTTTTTCTCAATTATACTTAATTTTATGTTAATTAAATAATTACTTGGCTAGATAAATAAGTCAAATTGTGTAACCTATATCTTATTACAATCAAATAAAATTAGAAGGTTACCTCCCAAACTGCCCCAAATGAAAAGGCAACAGTTAATTTGATCTGATATGACTGCTGATTTACATAACAACAAATATTCTTGTCTTTAATATTTGTAGTCAGAATTGGCGTTCCGATAAAATAACTCAATTTGCATATACTAGATAATCATAATCAGAGTCTTGAGTTTCAAAATAAATATTTTAATCACGCAACTCAAGTTTTTATATACAAAATCACCAAGATTGCCATCATAATTATTGCAATATTATAGTAAGAAGCAAAAAGAATCTTTTGTTGGCGTTGTCCAGAGAGTTCAGTGTTGTACACGTGATTTCAATTTCTTTTATTAAATAAAATTGTTGTTTCTCGCGTAAGTCTATGTTATTATTCATTAATGTCTTTTTTCTACTTCACCAACTTCAAAACAGGACATATGGATCAAAAGTGGGATTATAGATATATTATTTTTCATTCTTTATGCTAATCGAATTAATCATTTCAGATGCAATCATACGTATCATCATTTAAGGGACTTTTACGGTTCACTTTTACTTGTATTAAAAATATATTTTTATTTTTACTTAGTAATTTTTGCAAATCAAAAGAAAATCACATTTTTTCATGTTTTATACTAATCATTAATTACATATTTGACAAATTATTTCCCAAGACTTCTCAAAATACTATCAATATTATGTGTACTATGATAAAATATTCTTAAGGGCATGCAAAATGCATTGTAATTTCTCCTAATTTATGTACTCTTGCAATACACCCCAACCAGATAATCATCATTATGTGACATTAACCATTAGAAGATGAGATTTTACCTGGAATAGGAGAGGAGAGAGTCTTTGGCCTCATGCTGATTAGGTTTAAATATTGTCAAGATCCATTGTTAATGCAATGTTATTTTTTTAGCTTTATGTCCCGGCACCTTTATTAGGGGTACTTTCTAGATTAAAACATTAAAGTCTAACTACTTTTGAGAATTCAATTCATCCCTATTTTAGTTACGATTATTTGTTAAGTTTAGGATTGGAGAAAAAACTTTTTAAAAAGAGTTTAATTTTTGGGAAAATGCCAAGTACATTAAACATGTTTCAGGAAATGAAGTAAAAGAGTAAATTGAAACGTTATTACTCTTTCTTTCTTTTCTTTTTTTGTCTAAATATTATTACTCTTTTTTGTCTGTTCAATTTTGAAGCATTTGGGTCTGTGAAACCCATTAATGGTATCTGGGGAGGGTAATGTATATGCAGACCTTATCCCTACCCCGAGGGAGTAGAGAGGTTATTTCCGAAAGACCCTCGGCTCAAGAAGACGAAAAGAGACAACATCAGTATCACCAATAGAAACCATAGGAAAAATAACATCATGTAAATGAGAAAGTAGATACAAAACAAACGTGATAGAGAGTACATAGACGCGACATTATGGAAAACAAAAGAGTAGTAAGACACAACATTGTCACTAGCTGACATCGGCAAAAATTCTACCATACTAGCCTCACAAAGGTACGAAGTAAGATAAAGCTAGACTCAACTACCTCATAACCTACAACCCTAATACTCGACCTCCACTATACGTGATACCGTGAACAAAAAGTATACTTCCCATTTAGTATGAGAAGCAGAAAACAGAATACTAAGATACAAAAGCAAGCTGCAAAAATATGAGCTGGAATACATATATGATTATGAGCTACAGACATTATCTTTACCCTACATCACTTAGATAAAGCGTTTAATTTCATTGACATCCTCTTTTACCTTCTCTTCTTGGTCTTACCGCAACAACTATGCATCAATCTCAAACAACCGAACAAGTTGGGATCACTCACTACTTCATTTAAGTTCAACTCATTACTAAATAAATAAACGGTAAAGGGCCAAATATACCTCTTTATTTTCGAAAATGGTCTAAAAATATCACTCGTTATACTATTGGGTTAACTATACCTCTGCAGTCATACTTTGTGTTCAAATATACCCCTCATTTAAACGGAGAGACACGTGTCGTCGTCCTGTTGGTGAATTCTAAATATCTCCTAATTAATTAAAAAGACTTATTACCCTTACCCGAAAAATAATTTTTTTTTTGTACAAGTTGGAAAAAATTAAATTTATTTTTTACTAAAAACTGAAAAAAAACGAAAATATTTTTTTTCCAGTTTTTACAAAAAAACTGCTTTAAAAACTGAAAAATATTTTCTAAAATAATATTTTTGTAAAACTGAAAAAAAACGAAAATATTTTTTTTCCAGTTTTTACAAAAAAACTGCTTTAAAAACTGAAAAATATTTTCTAAAATAATATTTTTGTAAAACTGAAAAGCAAAAATATTGTTTTAGAAAATATTTTTCAGTTTTTTCTAAAGCAGGTTTTTTGTAAAACTGAAAAAAAAAAATATTTTTATTTTTTCAGTTTTTAGTAAAAATAATTTCAATTTTTCCATTTTTTACAAAAAAAAATTGCTTTAAAAAATTATTTTTTGGGTATGGGTAATGGGTCTTTTTAGTTAATTAGGATATATTTAGAATTGACCAACAGGACGACGACACGTGTCCCTCCGTTTAAATGAGGGTATATTTGAACCCAAAGTATGACTGCAGGGGTATAGATAACCCAATAGTATAACGAGGGATATTCTTAGACTATTTTTGAAAATAGAGGAATATATTTGGCCCTTTTGCCGATAAATAAATAAATAAAGAGTTATCTCACATAATCACGTTACAAGTCACAAAGGACCGGCCTAAGCAACAAAAGATTTGAGAAGACTGGTCCAAATAAGATATGTACAACCAAATGAATCCAGTAGGGCAACCGGAGGCAACACTTTTTGCATTTAAAGCGACAAAAGGCTTCACGAATCTTTGAACCGTTTTCTATAGCATTAATGCCAAAGCCCAAGTTATCACGTCTTTTTCTAGAGCCAAACTGAAAGCTTGATTTGTTGAACCAAAAATATAAAAATGGACAGTAGCATTCATGCTAACCAAGATTTATCACTTATTAGATCTCGTAAAGTCTAAGAGGAATACTAGCAACATCCCATTATTACTGGATCATGAACTGATCGTGTAGGCCTAAACAGCTCAGTCACCAAAAAAAACAAAGATTCAGCAAGAGCTGCAGAATTATCTAACGGCCAACATATTAACAGTGACACCACTTGCCTTTCGACTTTCGTCAGGTTAACAGTTTTTAATTGAAAGGAGAAAACAAATTGTTTACAGCCAGATCTCGCACTAAGATTCGGAAGTTCATCGCATGCAGCAGGGTAAGGGGATATAAATAAATTACTTTTTCTTTCAGCTGTTTAAAACTAATTATGTAGATTCTCAACAGCGGATACACCATACATAGCAAGATTTTGCACAATACCATCACATTCAAATGATACAATCAACAACAAGGGATATGTTGGAAATATCCTCGTAAAACATCGGACATGGCAAAAGCTACAAAACCATCTTTAGATTATTTTCTGAAGAAGTCACATCATACATCAAATGCGTTGACAAATTGAAACCTTAAGATAGGCAGCAAAAGAAGACAATCTAACAGTTCGAATGAGCTGCCCACTAGAAGTGAAACTTTAATAGAAAACATGGCACCACTCCCAGCTCTCCGGCTTAAGCCTCGGCAAATCTGGCATCAAATCAAATTGATAGTTGAGATACAGCAAGGAAAACAATATGCTAGGAGATAATGTAAATCAGGTTTCAATTAGTCTATATGCTTACCCCAATTCAGAGAGTTTCATGTGAGCCTCGGCATAGTCGGCAAAGAAAGCATCTTCATCCTGAAATTACAAAATAATTACTCGAGGAGCCATGCAACACTAACCAAACAAATAAGTTGTGTGGCCTTTAAAACATAAGAAGTTTAAATTATAGATCAATACGAACCGCTGCATATTTCTCAACCAATGGGCGGAAGACAGGATCACTGAGGAGAGCCTTGTCTGATGGCAACTGTAAAAGCCCCTCCTTTTCCCCGCTCAAAAGTTCCCTGTAACAAAGAACATGACCTTTAAAGCGGATGAACTAATAACGTCGCCAGTTAAACAGTCTTTCACACATTGCGACATCTGAGAAGTGTATTTTGGATTAAAAAAAAGCCTTACTTGAAGTAGGAGTTGTCGAAAATAAGTGGATTAGCAGTCCATGGTCCCTCAAAACCTGAACGTTCCTTGTGGCACCTCCCCTGGAACAAATTGTGATAAGAATATTAGTACACGAAAATAGAAGCTTGTATACCTAAGCTACAATCCAAAACACAAAAAGCTACAAACCAGGGTATGGCCACCAGAGAGTGCGACAATGTCCTTGTCAGAAAGACCCATTTGCTTAACAAACACATCCCTCAGATGGTCAGAACCTGGCAATAAGTTGACTAACAATTAGTATATAATGGAAGACGTCTGACAAGAAGAATGTTCTTCACCCGATAGTTGGCAATCATTATAGTCCTCTAAAAGGTACTCTCATAAGACACTCTGTAAGGAACAACTTACCCTTGGTGGCATCAGGCAGGCGACCTTCAAGAGGTGGCTCTGTCTTGTCCTGATAAAGAAAAGGTAAACAAAGATATCTAGTGAGGTAACCAAATTACCAATTGTATCATTCCCACAAGAAAGTATAGGAAGAAGTGACACCACATTTTGTACAAGCACAAATTACTAAAAGAGCAAACAGTCTCCACTCAGAGATGCATTTCCATAATCCTATCCAAACAAGGACTGGAATAGAATTGAAAGTAGACAAACAGTTTACATCTATTTGATATGTTTATGATTTACAATTTCAAAACCAAGCAAAACAAAAAAGGAATCATCCAGTAGAAATAAATTTAAAGAACTAATTTTCCGTTGTTAAAGCAGAAGTATGAGCAGAAATCTTCAAACTGGAGTGTAAGGTAGCAATTCTTTGATAGACTATTATTTAGTAAACGCTGACAAATCCTATTGAGGGGATATAGGATCACGGCTTCCACATTTTCTGGCTACTGATGCCTTGAAAATGAGAATAATTAATCTTAGTCTTATTGATTAAATGATAATTACCTCTCTACCAGGGTGGAAGGGCACATCAGGTCCTCCAGTAACTTCAACAGCAACCACTCCAGCCAACTACAACCAAAAGAAACTATTACATTAATTTTCCATTTCACCTTCGCAAGTAGAAATCAAGATATAACTTTCAAAATATAGATCATCACGAACGACATACCTGATAGAAATCAGCATAAGAGAGAGTAGGGAACTGCTCCTTGATGGGTTCCAATAGCCTGATGGCAATGTCAACACCGTTATTGGCGCCATGGCTTAGCTCAGCCTTGAACCTCATGGTACCAAATGGACCTCCAGTTTTGGAGCATACATCATAGGTACCAGCAGAGTGCCAACTGTAATGATATAAAATATTTTCAACACCATGAAACTAATATTCACTTTTCCGTCAGAAAGAAAACATATTGATTCAGTTTTTCTTTTTGCGTGTGTGCGTGCGCTTGTGTGTATAACCAAAATCTCTCTATAAAAAGTCAAACAGTCTTCTCTTTTTCACCTCAATATTTTCAAACATTTTATTCATATTTTAAGTTAAATTATTGTTAGTTATAGTCACTCATCCCAACGTTAAATTGTTTCTAAATATAGAAAGGTACTAGTAGAGTATTTCATAAATTGGGATGAATGGAGTAATATTTCTAAATAGTTTCTAAATATTTACCTTATTTCAATAATTATAAAATTAAAAAAAATAAGACACGTGGAGACTCGTGCATCATATTATTCTAATTTCGGAAGGGGAGTGTATTTGATTTTATATCGATATCTAAGATGCAGAAATGAAAAAGATGACATTGTACAACAACTTGAACAGTCAAAAATCCCCAAGCATAAACGGACAGAACTAAGGAGAACATACGCTAAACGGAGCATAAGAGGAGCACAATTCTTCTCGGCAATGAGTCCTCTGAGCTTCCTTTTGGCTTTATCAACAGCCTTAACGTACTCCTCACTCACTGTGGGGTAGCATTTCGTCATGGTAATAGTTCTACACAAATATCCAACCACAAGCACAATGAGATCCAAAAACTACAGCAAATATATCAAAATCATACGTAGATCTAAAACAACCATATCTTAAATCTATGAATACGCAGAAATAAATCAGTATTCCAAAATATCCAGCAAATGAACCACATACATCTAAAAACATACGAAATAAAAAAACAAAAGTGCAATGATTAAACCTCTGATCAAATAATATTTGTCTGATTTATCTCAACAATTAGGTTAAATCGGAGTTTGTTAAATAAATCGAACGTGAAAAATTAAGAAATAAATAAATAAAGCTGCATTGCATAAGGAAAATCTAAAAACCTGTACAGGATTCGAGGAGTAAAGAGACAAAGCGTTAAACCCTACAGAGAGAGTGGCACGGGCATACCACAAGCACGAGAATGATGAAAATGTAAAAGGAAAGGGCGAAGATATAAGGATGAGAAAGTTCTAGAGGTTGAATATAGACCGTTGGATGAGTATGATCGTGAGGCTGATACGGAGAGATTAACTGACAGATGAGATTGGTCTATAGTTTATTTGTGGAATATGAGGATAACTTTTTATTTTAGGTAGGTGGGAATTTTAAAAATCAAAGCACAATATGATGAATTTGATTTATTAATGGTGTTAAACAAATGGAAAGGAATTAGATATTAGCGATCCCATCGTGCTGACCTAAAGGACAATTATTTATTTCGAATGACTCAGGCAATAATTGTGTATTTTAAATGACTTAAATGTCCTTATGCATTACTTAATCTCTTTGTGGGATTTGAACATTTTACCTTGTTTTATTTTGCTAGGCTGATTAAAATAGAAGAGAAACACCTATTTAGCATTTTGTTTTTTCAAAGCAAACACCTATTTAGCTTGATCCTCTTAATCAACAATTTTTTTTCTTCCAAACTATTAAAATAAACAGAATGTATATCGTAAAATCTCTTGATATCTATTTCGCAAAACTATATAAAAAAAACTAGAACTTTACATAGTTAAGTTTTATAATGAAAAAGTATATATAATTATTGCGGACAAATGATGATTTAAAGCTTAAAGATGGTCATTATATCAAAATAATAAATAAAATTATATTGACATAAATGTCTCAGTTAGATAATATTTTGTGTTTAATCTACTCTCGAGAAATCAAACTTGATCATGGTTCATGTATGCATTATTCTAATCAAACACAAAAAGTACTTACAAGCTTTACACTTCTAAATGTAAAATTTTCTATATACGAGGACAGACTGGTCATTTGCCAATGTAATATCCCTAAAGGCTAAAACCAAATGTGAATGCACGGTGCCGTAGAAGATTCCTGGAAGAGAGAAACTCAGTCACTTGAACTCTCTGTCTCAAATTTTGATGTTTCTCTTTTGCAAGTCATTTTATTTATATAGTAAGATATATTCTATCTTTTACCCGTCATATATTTTATTTTTGTTGAATATTTACTCTATTTATGTGTTATCTCTATTTTCAAAAACAATTACTATTATGAGTAAAATTAGAAAGAAATAATTAATTTTATTTTAAATTTCTAAAATAACAAATAAATTGAGAGAACTATTTTTAAAAATTCCGACACATAATTTAAGACGGAGGGAGTAGCATGTTTCGTCGAACTTCTAAAATCAACTTATTTTGAAAATTACTTTTTTTTAAAATATTTTTCAAAAAAATATTTTTGAGCAGCAATTGATGTTTGTTTGCGCTTTTAAAAATATCTTTGAGTCTATTTTTCTCAATAACAAAAAAATCAAATAAGTGCTTTAGGAAGAAGCTAATTTTTTTGCTTCTACTTAAAAATATATATTTTTTTTCCTTTTGAAAACTTGGCTAAACCCTTTAATTGTGAAAAAAGAAATATTTTTTACCAAAAAAACTAGGCCAACAAGCTATTGGTCGGTTTGCTTCTTGTGTCACTGTCCAAAAGTTCTTTTGTGCTTCTTTTTAATCATCTGATAAAAATATATTAGTTCAACTAATTTGAATTTGGATATGAACTAATTCACTAAGAGAATAAAGTAGTCTCTATCTCTCCGTAAAAAATGTTAATTCTAAAGTTTGAGGTCAAGACCAAAAAGATTTCAATTATTATCACATTCTTTAGTGATTTTTTTGTGCTTTTGTTCTTTCGATTTGTCTTGACTTGCGTGCTAGCGGCCACTAGTTGTCAATTGTCATGGATGACCCATGCTGCGATCCTGTGGGTGATGAGACCATAATGTTGCCACCTTTTGATAAATATTGAAATCAAAGCCAATGTTAACAAACACAAGACGAGAACACGGCCGTCTAGTTGATGCTGCCCTTTGTTCCCACTACAAAATATGAAAGGCTTGTGCCTTCGTCGTTTTCATTTTTCAAAGTTCTACTTTTCCTTATTTTTTTTCCGGTTCAAAGTTTTACTCTTACTTTATTTAAGTTATTACTACTGCCTCTGTCTCAAATTATCTGTCGTGATTTTTAAAAATAGTTATTTTAAATTATTTATCATTTTTTAGAAGTTTAAGACTAAATTAGTTATTTTTTTTCTATTTTACCTTTAATATTAATTGTTCTTGAAGACTACAAATACCGCAATTATGAATAAATATTAAATGAAGAGAGATTATATCTCAGGATATAAATAAGGGTGAAATAGTCAAAAACTTCTCCTATTTAATTTTTTTAAGAGGCATGTAAAAGAAAAACATGACAAATAATTTTGAGACGGAGGGAATAAGTTATCGTGTGAAGAAAATTCATTGGAATTTGAGTTAGATGGTTGTTGTATATGCTAAAATCCGCCCCAAAACATTTTAGGGTAATGCATCATTAGGGAAAGAATCAGTCGAGGTCGGCCAGGGGATAGCGAGGTTCGTGGTAAAGAAGGCAGTGATGGTTGAGGTCGAGTATCGTTGACAGGACAGCAACGGCTAGTTTTCAAAATATAATATTAAAGAGAATATTTTAGTGAATATTCTCTGCACTTATACTATTAGGGTTTGCTAGGGATGTGTCAAAGATATAAGGGAAAAAGAAAAAGAATAGGGGTAGGTAATATTCATTTGATAAGTACACTTTTCAGAAAAAGATTCTTTCTCTTGTAAAAAAAAATACAAAGACTACATTTCTATCAAGATTCTTGCTTATATTATTCCATACCTTTCCACCAGATCCGAGGATTGTTCAAGCAAATCTCAGACCTATCTGTCATTCATCATTGTCAGGAGAAACATTCGTCCAATCCATCCATTATTGGGTGAATCATTCCTCATATTTACTTAAATGTCATTATTGCTAGTTACACCTCCATTATTACTGACACTTTAAGAATATTTTGTACTGATTGTTATCAACTCTTTATGTGATCTGTCCCCCATCTCCCACACGTTTTCAAGATTTGCATCTAGAGTTATTATCTCCAACTAGATTTAACCCATTATTACTTAAATTTAATAGTTTAGCCGAAAGTTATACTTTTTAGTCAAATAATTTGTCGTCGTCTGTCGGGATTTTCTAGTTAAGTCTTTTAGTTTCTTCTAGATTTACAATCGACACTGGTCACTAACGTAAAAAAATAAAACAAGAACCTTTTTCTCTCTACATACATAGATCTAATATGGCAGGTAACAGAGAAGAAAGAACGAGAATATTGAGTGATCTCCCAACCAACCTCATGAACATCATCCATAAAAGCTCTAAAGCATTGGACGAGGACACGACGCCCAATGCCTCTCCTAGGCGAGGTCGATCACCCCCTCTCTACTGCACCATCACAAAATCTCTTGGTAAGGCAACCTCCACATCCGTGGTAGAGGAGGCACCACCAGCAGTAAAGAGGCTCCTTGAGGCCTGACTAACTGATACACTGACCAACGTCCTCCATAAGCCTGTTCGGAATGCGGCCGCAGAAAACGCGAGAACTTGTGTTATGCCACCAGTGGACGAGCAACGTGATCAACCTCCTCCTCCTCCCATGACGACATGTATTATTCGCAGTGTTGTTAACAATGTAGGTGATGACGCTCTCACGCCCATTCTGAAAAGGATGGAGGAAATGGAAAACGAGAACAAGGCACTTCAAAACCAAATAAGAGAATACAAAGAAAGGGTCCATAAAATACCGGGCGCCCCTAAGCTATTGCTGAAGAGAGATGTCGGTCGGTTCGTCGAGCAGCCGTACAGTGATAGTGCTTCCCCACATGCCATACCAAAGACCTTTAAGATGCTGCCCTACCTAAAAATATACGACGACACAACCGACCTTGAAGATCATGTGACCTACTATGTCACTGCCGTGAAAGGAAATGACCTCACCAAGGAACAAATATCCTCCATTCTACTAAAGAAATTCGGCGAAACCCTCACGAGAGGCACATTAACCTGGTATTTGCAACTGCCTGCACGTTCATCAAAACCTTTGAGGAAATGGCTGATAAGTTCGTAACGGCTCATGTCGGGGCCAAGAAGGCCGAGGCTAGAGTAAACGACATCTTTGCTATTAAACAGTCTCCGGGAGAGGGGCTGAAGGATTTCCTTGCCCGTTTTAACCGAGTAAGGATGACATTGCCAAATGTATCAGAAAGAATGGTGGTAGCAGCTTTTCAAAATGGGCTGATATGAAATGGTTCAAGGGCGACAAGAAAATTATTAAGTCGGCTTATAAAGTACCCCCCAACTACTTGGGATGAGATACACATTGCATATTGTGCTGAGGTTCGAGCAGACGAGGACGACCTCAGTGGTCCGACTCATCGATTGACCTCGGTACAAGATAAATCCAGAAAAGATCAAAGAAATAATATTAGAAGAGATCCCGCGCCTCACGACCAAACTGGGAACGATATCTCACATATGTCAAAACCATCATTGCGTCCTCATCCCGCCATGAAGAAGGCCCGCCCCGATCAAGAGCAGGGACTCACCAAAATGAGGGAGGTATGCCCCATTTACTATCCGCTCATAATTTTTGCGTGTCCACTATAGAGAAAGTCTACGCCTTAGAGAAGCTCGGACCAAAGGTGAAGTGGACACAAAATATGAGGTCAGAACCGAATACCAGAAAATCAAATGCCTTATGCGAGTTCCATCAAGAGCGAGGATACAAAATCGAAGATTGTATCGCTCTAAGACAGGAGGTCATAAACATGATGCGACAGGGACACCTCAAAGAATTGTTGAGCCATCGGAGAAGGACCAACTTTACCAGGGGGCATGAACAACATCAAGGGCCGCCGAAATCGCCCTCGCCATCCTGCACCATCCACATGACCGTCGGTGGCAGGGACGACGCTTCCATCAACAGTGTAAAGTTCACCACAACCCATAAGCTCAAACGGTCGATCACCCACGAATGGTATGATGAACTCAAAGAAAGTATCATCTTCGATAAGTCAGATACCAACGGTTTGGCTTTTCCCTACTATGATGCTCTCGTTATCACTTTACGAATTTTA